GCTGTAAAACTCACATTAAAGTTTTGGGTCAGGATTTTAAAAATGGAGACGAGCAGATTACCACATGCTTGCTTAAATTATCTCTGGAAAGTCACCGCGAAAAAGGAAATAGAAAACAGCTTTACTCAAAATTTAATAAAAATTCTAGACTCCAAGGGATATTCCTTTCTTAAGGGCTGCGAAGACTACTTAGCCATACAGAAAGAATTGCCAGGCATAATTAGAACTACCACAGACCAACTAATTCAAAACGATCAGATGAAAATCACTGATTCAACCCACTTTGCTCACTACAAATTTTTGAGTGAATCATTCATGACAGAGGAGTACCTACGATTAAATATCTCGCTTCCCAACAAAAGACTAGTTGCACAACATAGAGTTTTATGGCAATTTTTCAGGGAAGAAAGAAAAGACTTCTGGAAAGAAAATGGCCGGAACTGTTTACTTTGTAAGGATCTCATGGATGATAATTTGCTTCACTATTTCTTCCAATGCCCTCTCTTAACAGAAAAACGTACGGAAACTTTCCCAAGCCCTACCTCTGGTCAATTTAGATACCATAGCATATGTCAACTTCTCTCTTCAGATCTGAATGATAAATTACTGATTGATAAATACTTTAAGTTCTGTACAGAAGCTGGGCGCATGAGAAAGAATGCAGGGCAAAGGATACTGGAGGATGATCCATCTGTAAATAGGTAACAAACCTTATTTTTGTTGTAAATGTTTCCTCTTCCCTCTCCTCTTGTTGACGTGTAAATACGGCGAATCCTGTATGGGGCGGAATGCCCTAAATAAAGGCTTTTGTTGTTGTTGTTGTTGTATATATAAATATAGCTGGACTATGCAAGAAATTCTGTGCTTTATTCTCACTAAGTATTTTCATATATCGATCACTATGAAGTCTTACCTCAACGAATATATCCCATTGACTGTAAAGCGATGCGTTTCTCAGGTGGGAAATCTCTTTTCACTATTTAAACATAATCAAGTTTTATTATTTAAATCAAATAACTTAAAGTGAACTCTGTGTAATAGTGAATTCAGCCAAGACTTTCCACACGACATATTTTATTGTCCGGCTTTGGAAGATGAGAAAGTAATTCTCCACAGAAAAATTTCTTATGAAAACAATTCGCCATATATTTTATTAGCAAAAGTATTGAAAATCAAGACCAATACATTGGCTCTTCATAAATTCTGGAGAACATCACAGTCAAAAGGAGTAAAACAGAAGAGGAACTCATCTATAGGAAAAGATTGATGTTATTCTTCACTTTCAATAGATAACTGTTATGTTTATTTCTGCTTACCTATCTAGGAGTATCCTGTATGAGACGAGTTTCCTTAATAACCGCTTTGTTGTTGTTTATGATATGTATATATGGGGATTATATACAAGAATGGCTAGTGCTCTGAAAAACTATAAACTGAAAATAATTGTTTTCATCACTTGTTTGTTGATATAGTTATTTTATTTTAAAAATATTTAAAGTAATCATAAGGGAATAACACCCCATCTATAAATAAGAAATAAAACTATTAAACACGAATGTTTTATTATTCAAATTCTATTTTTCAAGTGTTGCACATATACATTTAAACTCTTGAACGAAACATAAGGAAGTTGTATTTTTTAAATATATTTCGGGATTCAGACAATATCTCTGAAAGATATTTGATACACCGTGATCTTCATTGAAGACATATGAGATAGCCAAATGTGAACAAAATTGCCTGTATTCTTCAAAAAAAAAAACAAAAAAAAAAAAAAAAAGACTAGTGACATCAAAGACTTTCCACTTAAGTTTTATCAAAGAGTGTATAAGTAGTGTCGTCTGTTACTGTATTAGATCTCTAAAAAGTGGTATGATTGTTAAAGCCGCTAAGAGGGTTCACCATTGATGAGCCAGGCTCTCTCAATATTTTCGTTGCTGTATGGGCAGAAGAAAATTTTTGACAATTTATCTTCTTCATATTAAACAAATTGTCTTCTGTTCTTACAACAATGAAAAATATTAAGAGGGCCTGGCCCATCTAAATATAAGAACTTAAACTCTTAGGTAATTTTAACTTATTCATATTAAACTTAGATATGTTAATAGTGTTAATGTTTAATTCATGTTTAATAGATTGCGCCATCTGTCGGAATAAATATCAAATAGTATTTATTCCGACATATGGCGAAAGCAATCAGCAAATATTTGTTACACGATCAGAAAATTCCTATTTATTAATATAACCATCTGATAGCAATACAATTACACTATTATGAATTGTTTGATGAAACATATGGTTCGATGCAGATATTAAGGTGTAATTCTACTGTCCGAAATACTTATATCCATATAGAAAATTTAAAATATATCATAAATAGTATTCCAGTTAACAGTTATATATAGAAAAATAGCGCTTTATTATATTCCGTTTAAAATTTAATAATTGTTAATCCATTCTCTCTAACGGATCTGTGGGGGCCGAGAGACTTCCTTCCTGCCCGCTGAGATGACGGACCACGCCGTCAGCAAACATACAAGCGGGGGATATGAAATAGGAGATGACCACCGCTGTGCTGCGCGGCAGATCAGCGGAAGTGAATGAGAACTAGAATAGACATTCTAGGGTGTTGTCCTTTCTGTCTTCCTCTAAAAATGTAGCTAATAAGTAATACCAATAAAACATTAACTTTGAAATACTTTCTGGGCCATCGCTGGACTAATAAATCGACACACCACAGATCTTTTGGGTTTAAAGAGTTTCGCCGTTGAATAGTTTCATAGAGACATCAAATCCAATATAGAGTGTGTATGAAAAAGTGAAATTGTAGTGTTATGATTTTTCTTTGTTTTAAAAATGAATCGAAGTTGGTTCCATATGCTTGAATTGAATATTACACCTTAGTTCCATATAATTAATTGCTTAAAAAGGAACACAACAAAACAAAAAAGAAACTACAATTGTAAAATGATTTAATAACTAACTAAGAAAAAAAATATATATCAAAACTGATGATGATGAAAAATTTGAATATTTCTGCCAGAAAAATGCTTCTATGAATTAAAAAAAAAATAGGAACAATTACATTAATTATTTTAATATTATTTATATTACATTAAATAAATTATAAACTTCAAACAGAGTGTATAGAAATTATAAAATAATTTCATTATATTCCGTTAAAATGTCTTAATTATTAGCTCATTCTCTTACGGATCACCTGAATTTAGGGAGTTTGGTCATTGAATAGTTTCACAGAGACATCAAATCCTATCTATTTATTACAAATCCTATATGTAAAACGAAAATTAAAATTATACCGCGAATGTTTCTTTTAAAAATCGAAATTTATTTTCAAAGAGAAATAGCGACATTTCTAACTTTGAGGATGAGGTATGGAAAGGTGAAACATGAAGAGTAATGGAGAACGGAAAAATAAAAAGTGTCCAGGGGCGGGAATCGAACCCACACCCTTCTGCTTACCGGCAGGTGCCTTGTCCACTCGGCTACCCTGGACGTATTTTTCCGTTCATAACTTATATTTAAAGTAACATTTAAAATACAATATAACGCGGCTGATGATTGTAAAACGAAAATTAAAATTATACCGCGAATGTTTCTTTTAAAAATCGAAATTTATTTTCAAAGAGAAATAGCGACATTTCTAACTTTGGGGATGAGGTATGGAAAGGTGAAACATGAAGAGTAATGGAGAACGGAAAAATAAAAAGTGTCCAGGGGCGGGAATCGAACCCACACCCTTCTGCTTACCGGGCAGGTGCCTTGTCCACTCGGCTACCCTGGACGTATTTTCCCGTTCATAACTTATATTTAAAGTAACATTTAAAATACAATATAACGCGGCTGATGATTGTAAAACGAAAATTAAAATTATACCGCGAATGTTTCTTTTAAAAATCGAAATTTATTTTCAAAGAGAAATAGCGACATTTCTAACTTTGAGGATGAGGTATGGAAAGGTGAAACATGAAGAGTAATGGAGAACGGAAAAATAAAAAGTGTCCAGGGGCGGGAATCGAACCCACACCCTTCTGCTTACCGGGCAGGTGCCTTGTCCACTCGGCTACCCTGGACGTATTTTTCCGTTCATAACTTATATTTAAAGTAACATTTAAAATACAATATAACGCGGCTGATGATTGTAAAACGAAAATTAAAATTATACCGCGAAAGAGAAATAGCGACACTTTTTATTTTTCCGTTCTCCATTACTCTTCATGTTTCACCTTTCCATACCTCATCCTCAAAGTTAGAAATGTCGCTATTTCTCTTTGAAAATAAATTTCGATTTTTAAAAGAAACATTCGCGGTATAATTTTAATTTTCGTTTTACAATCATCAGCCGCGTTATATTGTATTTTAAATGTTACTTTAAATATAAGTTATGAACGGAAAAATACGTCCAGGGTAGCCGAGTGGACAATGCACCTGCCCGGTAAGCAGAAGGGTGTGGGTTCGATTCCCGCCCCTGGACACTTTTTATTTTTCCGTTCTCCATTACTCTTCATGTTTCACCTTTCCATACCTCATCCTCAAAGTTAGAAATGTCGCTATTTCTCTTTGAAAATAAATTTCGATTTTTAAAAGAAACATTCGCGGTATAATTTTAATTTTCGTTTTACAATCATCAGCCGCGTTATATTGTATTTTAAATGTTACTTTAAATATAAGTTATGAACGGAAAAATACGTCCAGGGTAGCCGAGTGGACAAGGCACCTGCCCGGTAAGCAGAAGGGTGTGGGTTCGATTCCCGCCCCTGGACACTTTTTATTTTTCCGTTCTCCATTACTCTTCATGTTTCACCTTTCCATACCTCATCCTCAAAGTTAGAAATGTCGCTATTTCTCTTTGAAAATAAATTTCGATTTTTAAAAGAAACATTCGCGGTATAATTTTAATTTTCGTTTTACAATCATCAGCCGCGTTATATTGTATTTTAAATGTTACTTTAAATATAAGTTATGAACGGAAAAATACGTCCAGGGTAGCCGAGTGGAGAAGGCACCTGCCCGGTAAGCAGAAGGGTGTGGGTTCGATTCCCGCCCCTGGACACTTTTTATTTTTCCGTTCTCCATTACTCTTCATGTTTCACCTTTCCATACCTCATCCTCAAAGTTAGAAATGTCGCTATTTCTCTTTGAAAATAAATTTCGATTTTTAAAAGAAACATTCGCGGTATAATTTTAATTTTCGTTTTACAATCATCAGCCGCGTTATATTGTATTTTAAATGTTACTTTAAATATAAGTTATGAACGGAAAAATACGTCCAGGGTAGCCGAGTGGACAAGGCACCTGCCCGGTAAGCAGAAGGGTGTGGGTTCGATTCCCGCCCCTGGACACTTTTTATTTTTCCGTTCTCCATTACTCTTCATGTTTCACCTTTCCATACCTCATCCTCAAAGTTAGAAATGTCGCTATTTCTCTTTGAAAATAAATTTCGATTTTTAAAAGAAACATTCGCGGTATAATTTTAATTTTCGTTTTACAATCATCAGCCGCGTTATATTGTATTTTAAATGTTACTTTAAATATAAGTTATGAACGGAAAAATACGTCCAGGGTAGCCGAGTGGACAAGGCACCTGCACGGCAAGCAGAAGGGTGTGGGTTCGATTCCCGCCCCTGGACACTTTTTATTTTTCCGTTCTCCATTACTCTTCATGTTTCACCTTTCCATACCTCATCCTCAAAGTTAGAAATGTCGCTATTTCTCTTTGAAAATAAATTTCGATTTTTAAAAGAAACATTCGCGGTATAATTTTAATTTTCGTTTTACAATCATCAGCCGCGTTATATTGTATTTTAAATGTTACTTTAAATATAAGTTATGAACGGGAAAATACGTCCAGGGTAGCCGAGTGGACAAGGCACCTGCCCGGTAAGCAGAAGGGTGTGGGTTCGATTCCCGCCCCTGGACACTTTTTATTTTTCCGTTCTCCATTACTCTTCATGTTTCACCTTTCCATACCTCATCCTCAAAGTTAGAAATGTCGCTATTTCTCTTTGAAAATAAATTTCGATTTTTAAAAGAAACATTCGCGGTATAATTTTAATTTTCGTTTTACAATCATCAGCCGCGTTATATTGTATTTTAAATGTTACTTTAAATATAAGTTATGAACGGAAAAATACGTCCAGGGTAGCCGAGTGGACAAGGCACCTGCCCGGTAAGCAGAAGGGTGTGGGTTCGATTCCCGCCCCTGGACACTTTTTATTTTTCCGTTCTCCATTACTCTTCATGTTTCACCTTTCCATACCTCATCCTCAAAGTTAGAAATGTCGCTATTTCTCTTTGAAAATAAATTTCGATTTTTAAAAGAAACATTCGCGGTATAATTTTAATTTTCGTTTTACAATCATCAGCCGCGTTATATTGTATTTTAAATGTTACTTTAAATATAAGTTATGAACGGAAAAATACGTCCAGGGTAGCCGAGTGGACAAGGCACCTGCCCGGTAAGCAGAAGGGTGTGGGTTCGATTCCCGCCCCTGGACACTTTTTATTTTTCCGTTCTCCATTACTCTTCATGTTTCACCTTTCCATACCTCATCCTCAAAGTTAGAAATGTCGCTATTTCTCTTTGAAAATAAATTTCGATTTTTAAAAGAAACATTCGCGGTATAATTTTAATTTTCGTTTTACAATCATCAGCCGCGTTATATTGTATTTTAAATGTTACTTTAAATATAAGTTATGAACGGAAAAATACGTCCAGGGTAGCCGAGTGGACAAGGCACCTGCCCGGTAGGCAGAAGGGTGTGGGTTCGATTCCCGCCCCTGGACACTTTTTATTTTTCCGTTCTCCATTACTCTTCATGTTTCACCTTTCCATACCTCATCCTCAAAGTTAGAAATGTCGCTATTTCTCTTTGAAAATAAATTTCGATTTTTAAAAGAAACATTCGCGGTATAATTTTAATTTTCGTTTTACAATCATCAGCCGCGTTATATTGTATTTTAAATGTTACTTTAAATATAAGTTATGAACGGAAAAATACGTCCAGGGTAGCCGAGTGGACAAGGCACCTGCCCGGTAAGCAGAAGGGTGTGGGTTCGATTCCCGCCCCTGGACACTTTTTTTTTACCGTTCTCCATTACTCTTCATGTTTCACCTTTCCATACCTCATCCTCAAAGTTAGAAATGTCGCTATTTCTCTTTGAAAATAAATTTCGATTTTTAAAAGAAACATTCGCGGTATAATTTTAATTTTCGTTTTACAATCATCAGCCGCGTTATATTGTATTACAAATCCTATATAGAGAGTATATAGAAATTATAAAAAAATATTTTTTTATATTCCGTTTAAATGTATTGATTGTTAATCCATTCTTTCTAATGGATCGCTTTTGTTTAGGCAGTTTGGTCGTTGATAGTTCCAAAGAGACATCAAATCCTACATAGAGAGCATAGGAATTATTGGAGCGGTTGAAGACTCTAGCTGTCATTGTGGCAACGAATTCCAGGACTCGAGGCACCTACTGCTGGAATGCCTACTCTTCTTTAGCGCTAGACAACAGACAATAAACAATGTTGTATATCTATATCAATTTGTAAATACCAGAAAGAATTGTCGCTGATTTAACCACTTTTGTAAATATATTTATGATTATCTTTCTAACCTGAAAGGTTCAGGTTCCTAATATATATTATTGTTTCTCTTTTTATTTTTGATTACTTTCTTGTATAATATGCTCATAACCATTATGTTACGATGCACTAGCGCGCCATCTGTTATCAAATTACATAACTATTTTAGAGGCGTAATATTCTTTTTAAAATAAAACAATTCCTAATGTCCTTACTGCAATGGAAAAATTAAAGGGAGGGCCTGGATCATCAGTGGTGAACCCTCCCAGCGGTTTCGCCAGTTCAATCTACCATACCGCTGTTATATTTATATGCATCCAAAAATGCAATATAACAGCGGTATGGTAGATTAAACTGGCGAAACCGCTGGGAGGGTTCACCACTGATGAGCCAGGCCCTCCCTTTAATTTTTTCATTGCAGTAAGGACAGTAGGAATTGTTTTATTTTAAAAAGAATATTACGCTTCTAAAATAGTTATGTAATGTTTATAACCGTTTCTGTTTTTTAAAAAAATGTAATTATCCCTAGCCGGGATATCGCGTTTTGTGTGTTGAAATAAATAGGAATTATAAAATCGTTTTATTATACATTCCGTTTAAATATAATAATTATTAATTCATTCTCCAATGGATTGCCTGGGTTCAAGCAGTTTGACCGTTGAAAAATCTCACAGAGACATCAAATCCTCTATAGAGAGTAGAGAAATTATAAAATCGAAAGAAAGAGAGATTAAGCTGTGAGCGGGTAGAGTATAGATGAACGGGCTTGTCTAGCATGCCTGGATTAAGTTTGAGGGGAATAAAAAAAAAAAAGAAGAGAGGAAAAGATATTGAACCTGAGATGGGGGGAAGTTTTTTACGGTTATATAATACTTACCAAATTTAATAATAAAAACAATATTTCATAGAAGTTCCCCATAAAGCCGAAGATAATGGGGGTGGAATACCAGGACACGAAGTAATTTATCACAAGGAATTTCATCCATAGAATAGCTTACTCTGCATAGAGGGATCTTACACAGATCAATGAGATGGTTTCCCTTTAACTTTGTTTCATTTCTTCTCACTTTCTCTTCAAAACGGAACATTTAAGTCAGTTCTGTTCTCTTAAACTGTTATAAAGATAATAGCCATTTAATTGTATTTATTCATTTATTTTTATTCATATTTATATTCACAGTTGAACCTTCCTATAAAGAACACCTAGTTACAAAGAAAAATTGTCCTTTAGGGAGAGGCGTCCTTTACCGCGAGTTGCTAAATAGTAAAAAATGCTAATTTTGCAAATTAAAACTGTCTTTTATAGAGAGGTGTCCTCTAGCGTGAGTGTCTTCTCATGGATGTTCTACTGTATATATATATATATGAAAAAAACAATAGAAAAAATAAAAGATAAGTGGGTCAGGTGTTGATATTAAAAATAAAGAAGGCATCTCCTGACCACGAGCACATGTGCTTTGCGCTCTGCCATCTAAAAAGCACATGTGCTCGTGGTCAGGAGATGCCTTCTTTATTTTTAATATATATATATATATCGTATATTTTAAAACTGTATAATAATGACACTTTTAGTATATGCCACATATCTCCCAATTAGTTAGAGCCGATGCCTTAAAATATCCTACCTTCTATTAAAATGTATAGTTTCTATTTGCTACCACCCCCATATTTTGTATATATGCTATATCTTTATTAATATAACCTGTACACCCTTATTTGTATTTAAACTAAAAATGGTGACATCTAAATAAAAATCCAAAGAGCGGTCAGCTGGGGACAGCTGGGGAGAGAGGAGGAAAATGGCAACGCCCAGCCCATGTGAAGCCCCCAGGGACTCTTTATAGACAACCCCTGTAAACAGGACAGATTTTGGCAGGGGGTCAGCAGCAGATGGTTCTAGGGTGTGGCCATCAACAGACGGCTGCTGTCTTTCACACACACAGTCTCTCTCTCCATGTCTCGGTGATAAGCATCCAAGTTTGTGTCATGGCCTCTACCTCTGTCCCGTGGGCTCTCTCCGATCACTCTCGGTGCTAACATCTAGCTCTGCCTCTGCTTCTTGTTGTCCGCGTGTGGGAAGAACATCAATACTCGCCTCACGTACACGACTGCCAGTTCATCCATACATCGACATTTGCAACGATATTACAGAAAGTCGACAGGATAACTGAGGACAGCGTGAAACTAAATCCTTATCGTGTCCTTATCGTGAAACTAAAAGTTGAAGATGGCTTGCGCCATCTATCGGAATAAATATCAACTATTTTCGTTGATTTTTTAAATTATTCCAGAATTGGCCAAATATCCATTCTTGATTAATCAAAAAAAGCAAACCACGGATGCCAGAGTTACAGCTTGCACCACGCTGATGAGGGCGAACAGCCCGAAACGCGTCAAGAATGGGTATTTGGCCAATTCTGGAATAATTAAAAATCAACGAGAATAGTTGATATTTATTCCG